GTTAAACCGATACTACACTCGTGTGTGAAGCTCTTGTAACAATTCAACGGATATCGCGCTTCTTTGTTAAATCTTAATGGAATCTTTAGGAAATCGTACTTGTTTCTTGAACACCCATCCATAATCTAATGTTGTATTTCTCGCTTGCTCGGTGTTAATCCTGCTAGAATAATGAATGATACCACGGCTGTCAGGGATGGACGAGCCTGTAACAATCTACTACTACTGCACGGCATTGCTGCCCGGTGACAATTGTGATCATACTACCCTGTTGCTCAAGGACAAATCTGCCACAATGTAACAGACATAGGGTTAAATAAGTGACAACCCTGTAGTTATCTGCTACATGAAACTAACAGTGGATAGGTAACAATCCTGTAGTAACCTGCTAATTGAAACTAACTGTGCATAGGTGACAATCCTATAGTAAACTGCTAAATGAAATTGTGGATAGGTGACAATCCTGCAGTAAACAAGTACTACATGATACTGCTGATTGGTGGCAATCCTGTAACATTGTTTGGGGGGTGACAACCCTGCTACGATCTACCACATGATTGTCTTGTTCAGAGACATTTCTGACAAGTCGACACAGCAAGATGTGGGGAAGAGGAAAACGACAGAGGAATAAAAATTACCCTAGTGGCAGCGGCGGTGGTGGAGGAGCATTCCGCTCGCCCGCCATGCGAAACGATAACGAGCTGGAAGGGTTCGTATCCATCCTGCACACCAGCGGGGATAATTATGTTCCCATCAGGTAAGGTGTGAGGGAATACAGGTCTAGTGGGGATAGCCAGGGGTATTTGTTTAAGACATACGATTGGTTGTTATTGTTGTTGCTATTGTTGTTGTTGCTGCTGTTGTTCTTGTTGTTCCTGTGGATGTTGTAGCTATAGTTGCTGTAGTTGCTATTGTTGTTGTTGTTGTTGTTGCTGTTGTTGTTGATGCTGATGTTGCGGCAGCAGATATAATGGCAAATGTGGGTGTTCTTGTTGTTGAGGCATAAACTGTTGCTGATGTTGTTGTTTTTGTTGTTGCAGTTGTTGTGATGGCAAATATAATTGTTATCGTAGACGGCTTCGTTATCTTAATTGTTGTTCTTGGTCCTCTTCCTGTTGTCGTTGTTGTTGCAGCTGTTTTTATGGCAACTGGTTATTTTAGTAATTGTCTTCATTCTGTTAGTTGTTAATACTGTTGTTGCAGCTTGTTGTTGTTGTTGTTGTTGCTGCTGCTGCAGTTGTTGCTGTTGTCATATTTCGCAGTTGTTGCTTCTGTTGTTGATTTGTCACTGTAGCCATGGTTATTGTGCTATGGAGGTGGTGAAAATACAGTGCATGGCAATTTCTCGTTTCCTGCTTAATGTTATTGTAACTACCCATGATTTATGCATCGACATCACTTGAGTATTAGTCTAGTTTTAGTAAGAGTTTTACAACATTTGCATGGCAATAAAGTCATATAAGTGACCAAGATTAGAGGTGCTACATTTTAAGACAATAACAAACACAAAAAACAAGGAGGGGAGATAAGGACTGTAGATGGTTAATAGTATATGAAAGAAGGAGCAAACCCCACCAGAGCACCCGCCAACCACCCGTGAAGGACTTGATGACGTATACGCTGCCACTATTAGTACGTAACGGCGAAGATGAGCAGTCCGAAACATTACAGTTAACACTCATGTTTTCTCCCACAACTATATTTCACTTACTGACGCGGTAGCGAGAAAGCGATTCAAGTAAAAGTCTACGGTGCTTGAGCCCTCCATTCTCAGCTTACTTCTTGACTTACTGCGCACATCTGGAGTCTCCAATATAAATTTCTTTGGGACCTCAAATGGGTTGCCGGGCGTAACGCGCACTCCTACCAGTTGCAAGTACATTTTACTGAGAAAGCGAACAAATAGGAGCGCAATCTTTATTCCCATAATATATCGTTAAGTTAATTATTATTATTCCTGTTTACAACACACACAAAAACACAATGTATATTTTCCACATGCGCCAGAAAACCCCCCCCAGAATCTTTAGCTTATATCTCTTGTATACCACTCAACAGGAGAGGTAGGATCGGATACGTTATCTAAACAATTTTATATAATCGATAGAACTTATTACGGATATGAAATGCATTACAAGGGAGACGTTGCACACTTTTACAATGTTTAAGTTTCGTGAAATTAAAAACAACAAACAGCTCC